TGTGTCTAGGTCTCAGCTCTTATGAAAATAATAAAATTAAAATTTGAAATGTTAAGTATTATACATATTTTAATTGGCAGCTTTTTTCCTTTCCTAGAAGTTAGAAAATAATGGTGCATCTAATGGCGTATATGTTTGATGAAATACCATATCCTGTTGTCCTGGGAGAAAGCAAACAGTGTGCAGAAATCATGAAAGGCTCTGTTATGAGGGCTCTACAGAGTGACACAATGTTTAAGGCCCTTTCAAACCTGCACATCCTCAGAGGGTGAGGTTTGGTAGCCCCTGCAGTTATCAGAGCTGTTGAGGAGTTCCCAGCTAACCCGCAGACATCTGTCTCAACAGATCTTCTGATACAGCCACCCAGGCAAATGGATATCAGCCAAAAGGAGCCCAGGGGTCCCTGGTTTAAAGCACCGTCAAAGGGCCCACTCATCCTCCTGTTAGGAGGCAAAGCGCCTGAAATCTGCACACTTACCCTTGTATGGGGAGAAAAGATTTCTTACCCACGCATGGCTGATGCGCCTGTAACAAAGGACAGATTAACAAGAGAAAAGCAAACAAATTGATTTAATATAAAGTTATGTCACACAGAAGTCCTCAGAAATAAAGCCCCAAAGAGATTTTTAGGGACAGTCATATAGAAGTTTGATCAAAGGACAAAAGAGTGAGATCTAATGGTAATAAACTCAGGGGTAGGGGTACCCCACAAGGCCCATTTGTTCAGAGTCATCTTGGCATCGCTGTGTGATATTTCTTTCCTCTGGGTATGGTGTAGGGCTGCTGTAGAATCGGGTCTTATGACCTATTTTCAGGGGAAGACTGGCTAGGCTTCGTGGCTCGCTTTAGAGGAGAAGGAATAAGGCGAATTCTTCCCAGTTTCTATGGCCTGCTTCTACTGTTTCCTCGAATGCCCAGGTACCATGATTCGGGGTAGTGTGTCCTGAACACACATCACCTTCTTAGACACAGGGTTTGTTAAGAAATGTGCTTAGGAATGTCCTTTGGATCCGAGCCTGTTTGTTAATAATCTATATGCATGCCACATATCTAGATTTACACACACACACGGAGCCTTAGTCTGTTTGGTGCTGCTATAACAATACCACAGACTAGGTAATTTATAAAGAACAAAATTTATCCAGTTCTGGGGACTCAAGATCAAGACACCAGCATCTGGTAAGGACTTTCTTGCTCTGTTTCACATGGCAGAAGGTGGAAGGCAAGAGCGTGAACTCACTCTCACAAACCCTTTTTTATAGCAGCATTAATTCACGAGGGCTCTACCTTCATGACCTCAACACCTAAGAGGCCTACCTCCCAATAGTGCTGCATTAGGGGTTAAATTGCCGAACAATTTTAGGAGACAAATTGAGACCATAACATGTTCATTTGTATACACATGGTTCCCAATGTACATTTTTTTTTTAATCAGGGCAGCCTTCATTTTACACAATAGAATGAAAGCTCTACTACTTTTTTTTTTTTAACTTTATGATGTTGTGAAAGCAGTATGCATTCAGTAGAAATCATACTTCAAATTGATTGTGAATTTTGATCTTTTCCCAGGCGAGGGGTATGTGGTATGCTACCCTCTTGTGGTGCCGGGCAGTGGCAGTGAGCCAGCAGCTCCCAGGCAGTCACACAATCTTGAGGGTAAACACCCTACACTCCACAGTGGACTGTGTTGCCAGATGATTTTTCCAACTGTAGGCTAACAGAAGTGTTCTGAGCACATTTAAGGCTGGCCAGGCTAAGCGCTGATATTCAGTAGGCTGGTTGTATGAAATGCACTTTGACTTACGATATTTTCAGGTTACGGTGGGTTTATTGGGATGTAACCCCATGTAAGCAGAAGAGTGTCAGTGTACATAGGTATGTCTTATCTAAAGATTTGTGCATATATGACCCAGCACTCACAAGCTCATGCACACACACCTATTATTTGACGACCTGTTTACTTACACTTAATGCAACTCTGTGTCATTGCATATTCTCTGTAGTGTCATTGTAAGTGGCACCATAGAATTCTTTTGTTTAGGTTTAGGCTAGTTTATTTAATAAGTTATTCATTCAGTTATTTCTTCTAGTTATTTAAGGTTATCAATAATGTCAGAGACATCCTTGTGCCCATACCATGTGTGGCTCTGTGTGTGAGTTCTTTTAACTAGGTTTACTGATTCAGACTTTGCATGGTCCAAGTGCAAAAAATCACAGACCTCTTACGGCCCCTCTACTATCTTTTGTAAAAATGTGTGTGTAGGTTACAGGCCCAACATTTGGCTAGAATGGATGTTACAAGCATGATCTCAAGCTCAGTCTCAAGGTCCACCCAGTCTTGGGTGGATGACTTAGGCCCGGTCTTAACCTCTCTGGGATATAGTTCTCTCATTTGTAAATCGAGTCTGTGACTCATGCTTTGTAAAATTCCTGGAAAGTAAGATCAGGTATATCAAGTACCTGGTATAGGGCGAGCACATGGTAACCTAGGAGCCCATGTTAGTCCAGCTTAGGCAGTGGATTGTATTCATGCTGATATGATCTCAAAGTTCTGGAAGATCATAAAGGGTTTATAACAGATGCTGCTGTCCATTGACCACTTATGCCTCTGTTCCTTACTTTTCATGGATGGACCAAAATAAAGGAGGAATAAAATAGTATCTACCCAGTAGGCTTGGCTAGCTTCATGAGCCTGCGGCTTGTGCGGTCACACAGGGCGCTGTGCTTGGTTTAATGCTCTGCTGTTGCTGTCTCAAAATTCTTAATTTTGAACAGAGGCCCCCTGTTTGTGTTTTTCACTGGGCCCCACAAATGATGTAGCCAGTGTTGTCCATAAGATTGTTGAGAGGATGAAATGAGACCTCACAAAGCACTGAGTGTAGTACTCAGGATATAATAGGACTCAATAATCATTAGGTGAATATAATAATTTTTTGCAAGCAGAAACAACTAAGTATATTAATAGACATTACATTATGAAAACAGCAGTGTGCGATATATAATTCATCTCATTTGCAGATAAACTGAGGCCCAAGAAGTTAAATAACCTGCTAAAACCACATCACTTACGTAAGCAGAGCTTGAATTCACACCCAAATTGGTCTCACCCAAAACCCCACTATTAACCTATTAAGTGTTATTTCCCTTCATTCCTTCCCAGGAGAACCTCTCTGTAAAACCTCATATTTAAGCTTGATACCCATCAGCAGCCCAATCCTTACTTCCAGCAGGATTTTCAGAGCCCCTCAAGGTGCTCCAGAATTCCCACCAGACATGGAAACCGTTGAAGATACAACAATCGGGAAGCTGAGTTCTCCTGTTCACCCTCTGTCATCCTGTCTCATCCCATCCTGTCCTGTCCCCAAGTGCCGAGACCAGCTCAGTTGTAGAGACCCTGGCACTGAAGGAATATGAAACAGAAATAAAGATACAGTGCAAGAGTGGGATTCGAGTGGGACTGTTAGGGGTTTGATGGCATTTTTTGGCTGACAGCCGAGAGCAGACTTTGACCCACATGTTTATTTTTTGTGAACAAGTGATTATTTTTAATAAGTAGGTGTTTAGTGTTTTTTTAATGGAGTAAAGATAGACTAAACAGGCAGATAGTGCCTGATTACTACTAAAATAGAAATAATCCAGAAAGCACTCTTTGCGACTCAGTAGTGGGAACAAGGTCAAATATCCCTTGTTTTGGGCGTGTTTAACTAGTGCATGGTGTTAAACTCCCAGTGGTGTTTTGGGAACTGGTTTAACTAGTGTATGGCCGATGCATATTGCGTACTTTTCTAGCAGTTTTCTTCCTGGGAATGACTCGGTGTTCCTTGCCCTTGCCTCTCAGCAAACCACATATACTTCATCACACGTTAAAACCTTCTCCAAACACCAAGCCTGCCCAGAATCACTTGCTCAGAGTTCCATATATGCCCAAACATGACCTCTCTGGTGACAATTTAGTTTGCTTCCTTTGGTTCCTGAAAAACTTAACATCGGATGACTGACGTCTAACTAATACCTCCAGACCTTCATGAGAATCAGTGGGAGATCCAGCGGCATTGGGTCCTGGTAAAAGCATCTGTAGGAGATGCCTATGACCCATACACTGAGGACCTGGCCCTTTGCCTGGTGGCAGGGATCCCTTGCTTTCCTACAGTGCCAGGCTGTGATATGCTCTGCCTACTCTTCTCCCTGCCAGAAAAGAGAGAAGATCCATTCCACCACGCTGCTCAGAAGTAGGCGGACAGCTTCATGTGGGGAAGTTCTCACGCAGGCCTGCTTGCGGTGTGTGGCCTCTAAGTAGATAACTTAATATGTGAGTGTTGCATCTCTCAGATTGCTAGATTTGAATTCTGAATGTGACAATGAGACTGTTGTTTCAAAGCAATTCCCTAAATGGCTGTTTGCTCAAGACTTTTGTAGTGTGAACAGAGATTTGGGGGATGGGGGGGAAGCCATCTGCTACAGAATAGTCTTCAAATGACACAATCAAATGACTGCAGAGCAAACTGGAGGGAGTCCAACAGAAGGTTCCTGTCTGCTGCATCCAGCCCCAACCAGCACTCAAGCCATTGTGTTTACATGGAGGCTCACACGAAGGTTTCAAAGGCAAGGCTGTGATAACCAGGAATTTAAGTGATGAGCGTGGAAAGGGCACGTTAAGAGAGCTCTCACCCTGGTATCTCACCAATATACCATTTGGAAAACAGAAAAGCGGGTCTTTGGAGAGCAGCTCAGTCTTTTTTCCTGAAGCCTTCAGCTATGCATTTGGTTACAATTTATGTATCACATCAAATGAAAAACTTACATTCCTTTGCGAATTCATGATGTTTATGTGCTCATCTGCTATTAGTGTTTAGACTCTGAAATCTGTTTACTTAAAAGATGAGGCAGTTTTCTTGTTTTTAAAATATGGCCTGTCTCAATTTGCAAAACATCCCTGATTCTTATTTTGTTCCTCTAAATACGTGTGTATGTGTTTTTTCTCTTTTTCTTTTTGCTGTTAGGCATTCATGCAGCCTCACTTGCTGGGAAATGAGTTCACACATTTGGAGTTTCCAAGGAGAGTACAGAGAAAGGAGCTTGGAAAGAAGATGCTCTATAGGGACTTCAATATGACAGGCTGGTAAGAACATGCCTTCCCCCACCTCGGCACCTCGGCACCACACAGTGTGTGTGAAGGAAGCATCACCACCATTAAAAGCCGCTCACACAGTTTGGATCAGGAAGCATAGCCAGAGACCTGGGTTTGTGGTGAAGAACAAGGGGCTACACCTGCCTCTGCTGTTTCTGCTTAGGACCAGCTCTCCAATCTGGAGGCTTGGTTTGCCTCTCTGCTTCTCTGAAGCCCTCCTTGGGGATATTGGACCCCATGAAGCTGATCTGATTTCTCACTTCACGTGTGGCAAACATTTGAGGGCTTTTAAAACACATAAAGCTTCATGCGTTTAGGTCAGGGTTATTAAAGAGGTAGAATGGCCAAAGGTTTATTGAGCCAGACTAGCTTGGGTTCGAATCCTGACTCTGATTTTTCTAAATGAGCAAATTTAGTTAAATTGCTTAACCTCTAGAGCCCATTTTTTCCATGGATAAAATGGGGGGGGGGGATATATCCTTTGAAGTTTCTTTATCAAGGCTAAAGGTAAATGAACTATTGTCTTTAATATCACAGTCAAATTGAAATAGAACTCTTGGGGCTGGGTAAGGGGGGGTTGTCTTATTCCAAAAACACAACTCTGTGAGCATCAAGACCATTTCCAGAGTGGCTAACGTTGACTAAGACCTCATTTGTTTCTTTTATCTGAATAACAGAGATGATGAGGAGCACTTACGCACTGCAGGGTTGACGTGAGGATTAAAGGAGAGAGCAGTGCCTGGCACTGTGTGGGTGAAGATTTCCTCTTGTGCCCTGGGTTCCTAACGAGCAAGCCCCCTGCCAGTCTGGAGGACTGTATGAGAATGAGACAGTCGACTCTTTCTTCTCCAACAGAGTCAAAGAAGTAGATTTCGTTATCTCTCCCCCATTGACCAAAATAGCAGTAGAAAGTGGTCACAGCCCAAATTCCTGTGGTGAGGACTGGGACAGGGATCTACTCCCAGGGTACATGCTGTCTTCAAGGAACAAGTTGAGCTACCCAGGGAAGATAAGAGGCCCATCTAAGGGACTTCTGGTTGTCCTTTGCCAACCAAAAGAAGTTCCTCACCTGTATCCACTCTTCTTCCTACAACAAGGTTAGCAGACTGTGACCCAAGAGTCAAATTCTGCCTACCCCACCTGCTTCTATAAATAATTTTTAAAAATGTAACTACACCCATTTGTTTGTTTAATCTGTGGCTGCCTTTACACTGCAACAGGGCAGTTAAGTAGTTGCATCAGAGACTGGTTTGAAAACCTAAGATATTTACCCCTGCTCTAAAATATGAATGAATTTATTAGAAAGTGTTCACTTTCGCAGCTCTGAGTTCCAGAGTTTTGATGCCCCAGGATCAACATTCCAACCCTGACTGGGTTTTCTTGTAAATCCATTTTTATTTAGTTAGCAACATCAGCACTTGTACAGGAGAAGTTTAAGGTGAGAGCTAGTGTAATTCAGCAAAGCATCATGGGGTTTTGTCTGGGAACCGTAGAATTTGGCAAGATGGAAGGTTAAGAACCCACATGGTTGTAAACACATAAAAAGAGTAGATCTAAAGGACAGCAAGGAATATGACCAAATAGAGGAGAGGCTGTGGGAGATAGATGGGGGTGATACTGAAGAACATGATGGGGAAAATGGGATGCCAGATCAAGAAATTTAGGTTTAACTTTGGTAGGCCGAGGCGGGTGGATCATGAGGTCAAGAGAGCGAGACCATCCTGGTCAACGTGGTGAAACCCCGTCTCTACTAAATACACACACACAAAAATTAGCTGGGCACGCTGACGCGTGCCTGTGGTCCCAGCTACTCGGGAGGCTGAGGTGGGAGAATTGCCTGAACCCAGGAGGCGGAGGCTGCGGTGAGCCGAGATTGCGCCATTGCACTCCAGCCTGGGTAACAAGCGAAACTCCGTCTCAAAAAAAAAAATAATTTAGATTTAGTGGGAGACTGTGGGGTGCTCTTATATATTCCTGAGAAAGAGAATTGAATGGAAGCAATGTTTTTGGAAGGCCATTCTAAGAGAAGGTGGAATGAGATTGACTAGGAGAGAAAGCAGATTCAGGTGCCCAGAGAAAAAGTATCATAGAAACATTTATGTGAGGTCTCAAGTCCTAAATAGAGGGATAGAAGCAGAAACACAGAAGGAACGGAAACAAGAAACTAAATGATTTAGGCCAAGGTATAAATTGAGGCCAAGAGGTTAAGTCATTGATGACACCAGTTGCCTGTTTAAATGTGTCTCTTCAGCAAGTCTGAAAGCTCCCTGAGGGAGACACCAGTGCCTAGTCCTATGCCGGACACTTAGTAGACAGGCAGCAAGTATGTATAGGCTGAAAGGAAGAAAAGAGGCACAATTGACAGAAGTGGGAAGCTCAATGTTGCGGACAGTTGATGTGCACATTTAAAACAGGTTGAGCTTGAGGCAAGACTGTAGTGTGTTCTTTCTATGCCAGAAAGGCAAATTAGATCTGAAGTAGTCAAAACAAACCGTAAGTATCTGCCTAGGATTTTGTAATAAGGAAAAGTATCATTGCTGCAGATGCTTAGTATTGATTCAAAGTGGGAGAAGAACAGCTCCTTGTTACTATCTTTGAAAAGCACTCCTAATGAGATAACAGGCATAGTCACTTTAATGGGCAAGATGCTTTCAAAAGCTGTAAAGTTTCCCTCAGACCACTCTTTGTAAGTAGAATGTGTGATGAGGTTAGTGTTTTTATGTTTCTTTCTCCAAATTCTGGAAGCTCTGCTTTTTTTTTGGGGGTGGCTTGTGCATTTTAACATTTAGCAAATGGCTAAAGATTGTCCCGCTTTAAAACTTTTTTTGAAAAAAATGTAGATAAGTTTAGGGACTAGATTACATCCAACTTTATATGCACACAATTACTCTTTTCTGCTCTTGCCTGCACACTTGCTGTCATTCTCTTTTTCTCATTTTCCTTCTCTTTCTCTGTCTCTCTGCATTAGCACGGTCCTAAGGAGATAAACAGTCCACAAACGGGCTATTTTTAATTGCATGGAGCTTCACAGAAGGTACTGAATAATGAAGGAGCCAGAGCAGAGAATGGCTTTAGTCAGACATGATTTGCTGATTTGTTTTCAGCCTAATTCCTCACACGGCTGTTGGCCCACAACCTTGGCTACAAGAAGATTTATGTGCATCTTTGCACATTTCCTACCTGTTCCGACTTTTGATTTGAAAATAGGACTTAAGGTGAAAAAAAGCCCTTTACATCTTTGTTAGAAGAACCTAAGAAATTTAAAACCAGTTTAAACCATGCACAGTGGCTCATATCTATAATCCCAGCATTTGGGGAGGCATAGGTGGTAGGACCAGTTGAGTCCAGGAATTCAAGGGTGCAGTAAGCCAGAATCACACCACCGCACTCCAGCCTGGACAACAGAGCAAGACCCCATCTCTAAATAAATAAATGAATCAATTAATCATCTATTCAATTTAGACTACTGCCTATGTAAAGCATCCCCCCCCACACACACACAGAACTTTAGTGAATTTCTTTTTAAAGTGTTTTTACCCTCTAACAGAAAGCCTCAGATGTAGCAGTTATTTTTTAGGCCTTAAAGATGGGAGGCTGGGCACAGTGGCTGACGCCTTATAATCCCGGCACTTTGAGAGGCAGAGGTGGGAGGATCACTTGAGCCCAGGAGTTCAAGACCAGCCTGGGCCAACATAAAAAGACTCTATCTCTATAAAAAAAATTTTTTTTAATTAGCCAGACATGGTGGCACATGCCTATGGTATCAGCTCCTCAGGAGGCTGAGGTGGAAGGATTTCCTGGGCTTGGGAGATTAAGACTGCAGTGAGCCATGCTTGTGCCATTGTACTCTAGCCTGGAAGACAGAGAAAGACCCTGTCTCCCAATAGAGATGGGAACACAATTTGCAGCCTTTCTTATTTGTCTATAGGAAGAGAAGAATTGGAAAATTAATTCTCTAGAAAGAGAGTTAAAAGATCGGTACCCTTTTTCTTTTTCCCAGAAAAGCCTAAAATTGCTACCAGGTTGTTGGGAACAGTTGAAGGATGGACCAGTAAGCATTTGGAAAGTGTCAGCTCAAGGATGCAAGCAGGTCCTTACCTCGTCCCTCCATTGTTTCTTGGGTACAGAAGTAGCCTTGGGCTGTGAACCTGTTTTTCTGAACCCTTCTAACAAATAAAAGGTCCACCTACTGCAAAGTTGTTTCATCCTTGTAGTCAATGCCTAGTTGTAGAAATTTTTTTCTTCCTCATCCCCCACTAATCATGATGGTAATTAGCTGACAGTTATTGGAAGAGCTAAGGGCCAGACACTATGATGAGAGCTTTACCGAATTGCTCATACCTTTTTTTTTTTTTTTTTTTTTTTTTTGGAAACAGTCTTCCTCTGTCACCCAGGCTGGAGTGCAGTGGTGCAATTTCGGCTCACTGCAACCTCTGCCTCCCGGGTTCAAGTGATTCTCCTGCCTCAGCCTCCTGAGTAGCTGGGACCACAGGCGCGTGCCACACCCAGCTAATTTTTGTATTTTCAGTAGAGACAGGGTTGCCCCATGTTGACCAGGATGGTCTCGATCTCTTGACCTCATGATCCGCCCGGCTTGGCATCCCAAAGTGCTGGGATTACAGGCGTGAGCTACTGCGCCCAGCCTCATACCTAACTCTTACAACAGTCCTATGAACTAGGTACATTTTACAAATGAGGAAACTGAGGCACAGAGCTAAGTTGCTGAAGGTTACATAACTAGTAAGAGGAGAAAGTGGGATGTGAATCCAGGCAGCATAACTTCAGAGTGTGCAGTGCTTACTAAGGTGCTGAACTGCCAAATGTGGAATGACTCCCCTTTACTCCCATGTTGCAGTGAGCAAATAAGGCCTAGAGGTGTTAAGCAGTTTGCTCAGCTTCCACCAATGCAAAAGTGGTAGAATAAGGACTAGAATCCAGGTTTCTGACTCTGTTGGAGTTTTTTTTTTTTTTTGAGACGGAGTCTGTTGCCA